AAGCTACTATGAAGAGGAAGCTTATCATAATTGTGCACTGAAACTCTGAAAGTGTCTTCAAGTATAGTCATGCATGTTATACGATAATGGTTATTAACCAATTGGTTATAGTCATTATACTGAACAAACATTTTTAATCCAGGTCCTGACTGCTGTTTGTCAAGGGGAAACACTGATGAATGCTCTGCAAGGTGCAGTACCTGAAGATGTCCGTGGAAAGCTTACCAGTGCTGTATCTGAAATTGTTCATAATCAAGGTTCTAACCTGAAATTGAATCGACTCCTCGCTCTCAAACCCATTCCTTATGTAACATCTTGGGCAAAATCATCAATCCAGGAAAGGGTTGGAGGAGACTCAAGTCCAGAAACTGAAAATGAGTACTCTCATTCTTCAGATGAGGTGAAGGTGGGATATTTGCCAAATGGCTCTAATAAGCATGTATCTAGTGCAGACAATCACTCTTCGGAACTAGAAGCAGAAGGAAGAGCTTCAGAAAATTTGCAAAAATCAGATTATACCTATGAGCCTCAATCAGTAAATAGTTATTCTGATATGGGAAAAGACATGATTGATTTGGTACATAACAATGAGAATATGCATCTTTCTGTCAAAACTGGTCTGGCTTCTGGTAACAAGGGAAATGAATCAAAAACAGGAGTTCCACCAAAGGGTTCAAGCTTGCGTGAAAGGGAGGCTGCCATTGAGAAGAATATGGACTCAGAGAAATATGAAATACAACAAGACGATGGAAAAAATGAGATGGTCTTGAATGAAGAGAGTTCTAGTCAGGCAAATGAAGAAAATGTTATTGATTCTTCTAGTTGTGAAAATAGTGCTAAGCCAAACACAGAGCAAAAAGCAACATCTTCTGCATCTCTGCCACAGGACCAAGTGATGGAAAAAATGGACGTTGAGAACATAAAGAGAGAAGAAAAATGCATGCAAACCAATTCAAGCCAAAGTATATCAGATTCACCAGTCCCTAGTGCTTCTCAAGCATTAGATGCCTTGACTGAAATAGATGATTCGACCCAGATGGCAGTTAATAGTGTGTTTCATGTTCTGGAGGATATGATTACTCGGTTAGAGGAGGGGAAACACATTGAAAATAAAATGAAAAATTTAGACAATAACCGTGAGTCTGAAGATGTTGAGGGGAAATATAGGTATCCAGGCACGCCACCTTCTGATGCTATTCCTTCAAATAACCAATCACACTATGTAAACACAACTAAAGAGATGCATATGATTCAAGATGAAAGTGGTATAGAAACTAAGCACTCTGCAGAAAAGAATGGGGGAAAGAGGGAGAACATTTTGAATGCAAAACTCTGTGTGGAGGATTCAGCCAAGTACTTAAATGCTATCTCTCAAAATGTTCCAATCTATTCTATAAAAGATTTACAAGGTCATTCTCTTCACAAAGAAAAGAACCAAATATCCAAGTCAGAGGATAGACGACAGAAAATCTTGGAGCATGCCGAAAATGATGCTAATTCTGATAAAGATGTCACGTCTCATGAAGGTGGGCATTCACAACCAAAACCAAAGGATATAGACATCGAACCATCTTATGTAATTTTAGATTCGGTGAAGCGGCATGACAAAATTGAAAAATCGAATGGAAATGTTGAAACTGGTAATGCAGAAAAAAAGTCGTCTGACATTATCAGAAATATTATAGTGGACACATTAAGAATTGAAGTAGGCCGAAGGCTGAGTTCTGCTGACATGGAGGAAATGGAGACCGAACTTGCTAGAGATGTGGAGAACATTGCAAATGTGGTCTCTAGAGGTGTAGGGTTGGAGGACATACTTGCATCAAATACGAAACTCTGGGACTGTGATTTAGAGACAGTTGGTTCCCTTCATGGAGAGCATATAGTACAAGCCATCTCTTCTGCTGCTCAGAATACCACCTATTTGCAAAGAGTATTGCCAGTTGGGCTTATTGTTGGCTCAAGTCTGGCTGCCTTAAGAAAATCCTTTGAAGTATCTGCTGTTGAATATTATGGAAAAGACAATGAAATGATCCCTGACCAAATAAATCAACGTACAAACGATGAAAAAGGATCTGATATTGTGCCTCATTTGAATACTAATCAGAAATATGAGCTTGAGAGCTCTGGTCTCAAAGCTGATACAAGAGTCTATTCCGAAGCTTTGAGCCAATCCAAAACTGATTGTAGAGATGATTCTGGAGATTCAAGAAAATCTATCATGGTTGGAGCTGTTACTGCAGCTTTAGGAGCATCTGCATTAATTGCCCGTCATCAGGTAAAAGTTAATTGTCACTGATCTCTATAGTTGCCACAACATCATAGGTGACAACTAGGTGTTGCTTAGGCCCCCAATTGGTGGAGAACACTTGCCTGGGCAGATCCCGTCACACGAAGTCCCGAAGAGCGATGTGCACTGAACGGGCATCACTTAGGCGTTGATTGGGCATTCACGGAGACGCTGGGAATAAGTTTTTTTGCCAAATCAATTTCAACTCCAACAACCGACCCACCCATTTTCAACTTTAAAAAGCCTCATGACCTGATCAGCAAACATAGAGAGAAAAAACATATTGAGAAAAGCATTCTATCACCGCCACAGCTCGCCAATCCATCTGTCTTTCCTTTTTTTTATGTCTTTTTCTTCTTTTCTTATTTCTTTATTTTGTTTATTTATCTAGTGTATTTAATATGTTTTTCGTTTTGATTTTTTTTTGTTTCTTTAGATAGCAGTTGCATCTCTGTGATGCCTTATGTTTAGATTAGTTGGAGGTAATAGTTTCCTATCTTGATTTGATTTTTTTCTTTTATTATCATAGTTTGTAAGGCGTCGCCTAGGCGATAAGGCACTGTCACTGGGACGCCTTGTCTGCTCGCCTCGCGTAGAAGACCTTAAGGCGACCAGGCGCTCGCCTAGGCGTCGCCTTAGTTCGCCTTGATGCCTTGGGCCCCTTTAAAATTTTTAAAAAACCCATTTTTTAGTGCAGCCCTTTTTCTTTTACTGTAGCCTAATAGACTTAAACTTATCTTCTCTCTCTCGGTTTTCTCTGTCAAGCTTCCTTAAAATGTATAAGACCTATATATACATATACATATATATATATATATATATGTATGTATGTATATATATATATATATGTATGTGTGTACATATAAATATATATATAAGTATATGTGTGTGTGTGTGTGTGTGTGTGTGTATGTATGTCGCCTAGTCGTCGCCTAGGCGTGCGCCTAGTCGCCTAGGCGATATGAAGGTACATTGGCGCCTTGCCTCGCCTTGCCGCCTTACAAACTATGTTTATTATACCGATTTCGTTTTAATTTTTCTTGATGATATTTGAGACTTTCTAGTTTACTTAATTGGAACAACAACAACAGACGATCGAGTAAAATCCCATATAGTGGGTCTGGGGAGGGTGTGTATACGCAGGCCTTACCCCTACTCAGAAAGTAGAGAGGTTGTGTCTAGGAGACCCACAACTTCTTTAATTAATTGGAATTGGATACTAAATTTATGTTTTGAGTTTATATAAAAAATTAGTAACTCACATTTGTATCACAATAAATAATTTTATATGTAACTTTTACATATGTTGACTCGTCATCTAGGCGGTCTTGTAGTCAGCTAAGTAATAAGGCGGAAGGTGGTCTACTCTGTGCCTCTCGTAACCATCTCGACAACTTTGCTTATCACTTTCATTTTACTCTAGAATGATATAAGTATCTTGTTTATTTCCATTCCCCTATGGAGCCAAAGATTCACTATTTTTTGGCTTTGGGGTATGATGGAATAAAGCAAATTGGTTCTTTAAACTATCTACGCTTCTTGCAATTGTGAAGTAGCAGTTAGTCAACGAACTTTCGACGCTCATCATGGGTCATCTGGAAACAACCGCTTTATGTTTTAAACATAGGGGTCACAGTGCGTACATCCGACCCCCTTACCCCGCAATGGGTGGGAGCCATTGAGGCACTGGGGTAATGTTGTTGTTGTTGTTGATGATATAATAAGTATCTTGTCTAGCATACACATGTATGGTAATGACACCTGCTTTAGAGGATTTGCATCAATTGGTGCACGCTTTTAAGTTTTAACTTTTTACAAGCTATACTCTTGCAAAACATATTACGACAACATTTGCTTTGTTTACCCAATTAGGGACACAAACTGAGTTAGTGATGCTTTACCTTTTGAAGAAAAAAATTTATTAAGATGACATTTGCTTTATAAGTCCGTCCATTGACAATGTAGCTAAAAGAGTCATTATTGACAATGTTTTAGTTTCGAGCGGAAATGGACTAAATCAAAATGACACATTAAACTTTCCCCACTTCTTACTTTGTACTGTGTTCCAAATTAAGTTGTTTGTCACAGGGTCAAACTTCATTCATTTAATTTTCTTATTTTCGTTAGTCATTTGATAAAATAACAGTCATGTCACCTCTTGTTTCGAAGACTTTCGATGTAGTTTTTAAATATGTAAATTTTATTTTTTAATTCCACCTCAATTCTCAAATAAATTGTCTTGAAAATAACTTCAGTCAAACATCGTAAACCGAAACAAGCGATTTAAATTGGGACGGAGAGAGTATGATGTGTTGGGGAGTAAGTGCTGAAATGCATCTAGGGTCAAATGGAAAGAGTCTCTCTGATTTTACAAGGGTAAGACTAAGACTCTGTACATCACTACATCTTGACCCTCAGATTCCAACGCTGTTGGGATTATACTAGGTTTTTATTGTTGTTGTTGATTAAAGCCATGATGTTTGAATTCCTGAAACGGGGAATGTTGTTGGGATGGGGAATTTTTGATGTAAACAATTTAACTTTTCCAATTGCCAGCTTAGAGGCTTAACTGTGACGGATAATTGGACAGACACGATGACTGTTAAGTATCTGGTTTTACTTGTTTAAGTAGGCAATAAAAGAATCTCGGTCTGATTATTTCCTAATATGCATTTGCTGTAATGCTGTAACATGATAAATAGCAGTTTCAAGGCATGATGTTTAGGAATTCAAAGATTCTTGCTCTGATCGTTTTCCTAGTATGTATTTGCTGTTTCTTTCCCTGTAAATGCATTTTTAATATCTAGTACCTATGTGCTTAAAGGGCGACGAGATTGGAATTTCTTCCAATTGCATTGAAAAAGAAGATCCAAACAAGGATATTCCCACACTTGATGATGTGGATAAACCCCAGGATAACATAGTTACAAGTCTTGCCGAGAAAGCAATGTCTATTGCTAGTCCTGTGGTACCCACAAAAGATGGGGAAGTAGATCAAGAGAGGTTTTACATGCTCATGCTGATAATCCTTTTGCTTTTCATTTTAAATCTTTTTCTTAAGTAAAAGCTTATTGCTATTACTTTAATGCATAGGCTGGTGGCAATGCTTGCAGAGTTAGGACAGAGGGGTGGACTTTTTAGGTTTATCGGAAAATTTGCATTGCTTTGGGGTGGATTACGTGGTGCCATGAGTCTAACGGACAAACTCCTTTCATTTCTGCACATTGCTGAACGTCCTTTGTTCCAAAGGTAAATCACTTCTGTGGATCTCATGTAGGATTTATTACATGTAAACTTGTTTATAACCTATCAAAAAAACAAATGTTTCTTTCTTGCCAAAATATTTCCACCTCGAGCTATTGGAAATTATAAAAGTTACTAAAAGATTCTGTCACCACCCCCTGACACTCTAAATTTGGCAAAAGAAAACTGCCCTTATTTCACAGAACTCTGAAACTTCTATCTTTGATCTGGCTTCAGGATTTTTGCATTTATGTGTATGGTTCTTGTTTTATGGTCACCTGTTGCTGTACCTTTGCTACCAACACTTGTGTGTAGCTGGACTACTCATAGCCCATCCAAAACTGCAGAACTGGTTTGCATTGTTGGACTCTATATCTCTGTTATGCTACTAGTTACAATATGGGGGAAAAGAATTCGTGGGTACCGAAATCCACTTGAACGATATGGACTGGATCTGACTTCATTGTCACAGGTGCAGAATCTCTCTATTAGGCATTTCGAACTTTGTTGATGTTCATTGCTCTGCTTTGGGAGATTAAATTTTTACCAAGCTTTTTCTTTTGGTTGATCTGAGACATAAAATATTGTTGTTACCTGTCTATTCCTGGTAGTGTCAAAAAGAGAAACTCTCAGAGCATGAAAACAATATTACTTGCCTAACCGTGATCTCAACCTCCTTGCTTGCAGGCTCAGGATTTTATAAAGGGGTTGGTCGGAGGAGTCATTCTTGTTTTACTATATTATTCGGTAAACTCCCTAGTCGGAAGTGTCCATTTCCATATGCCAATCACTTTCCCTCCATCATCTTCTGCTGCCCTAGCATCATTAAAAATATTCAGTCAGATGGTTTTACTAGCTTTTCAAGGACTTACAACCGCAACTGGGGTTGCAATGATCGAGGAGTTGATTTTCAGATCATGGTTGCCTGATGAAATTGCTTCTGACCTCGGACACAATCAAGGAATAATCATTTCGGGACTTGCATTTTCAGTATTCCAAAGGTATATTTCTACAGTTGTCTGAAGCACAAATTTTGTTTGAGTATCTGACGAATTTATTTGACTCTATGCATGTAAAGCTGAACTAAATTTAGTTTCTGTTCATAAGTTTAGTGTGACTCTCACATAACATATCTTTTTAGAGCTTTTGTCAGGGGATGAGATCTTTTATTCTAAAAAGGTATTCCAATTGTTATCGTTGCCACCTGTGTTTTAATAATTCACCAATATGATCACTTAAATTCATTTGATGGTACCCAACTGCTTGAATACAATATTGTATAAGATTTTGGAGTAGAACATCTCATCTCATTCATTCAAGGACATTCCATTTTATTGAAATAGGTGTAAAGTCACACTTTAAGTTTGATAGAGTTAACTTGAATACTTGGTACATAGTAGTTGGTGTGAGAGTGATTATTCAAGGCTTTAGTCATGGCCTTAACCTTTTCATTAATGAAATTCTAGGTCAGCATGGGCAGTGCCTGGTCTATGGATGTTATCACTAGCTCTTTCTGGGCTTAGGACAAGAAAGAAGGGTAGCCTATCCCTTCCCATTGGCGTACGTGCAGGGATATTGGCTTCAAATAATTTCTTGAGGATGGAAGGCTTTCTGGTTCCTGGATCCAAGTCTCCACCATGGCTTACCGGAGCATCCTCTTTTCAACCTTTTAGTGGCGCCACTGGTCTTGCCATTGCCTTGTTTTTGGCTGTACTGGTCTATCCAAGAGATACGAAAAAAATGTCTAGACCCATGAAGGATTAAGCATGCGAATATCAAATTAAGGCCCGTTTGGTAAAAAGGTATTTGGCTGAATGCTCGAATCTACTCAATTTTCTGAAATTTTAAGCGTTTGTAAAAATCAATTTCAGCCAAATAAGCAAGTCAAATGGAATTATTCTGCTATGGCATGTAGATAAGCAGAGTAAGCTGATTAATGCTACCAAAAAGGGCTTTTTATATGTACTCCCTTCGTCCGGTTTTAGTTGTCAACTTGTTCTCATTTGTCCAAAATTAGTTTTCTACTATCTGTATTCAATATTTCAATGGAGTAAGGGTATGGTGGTGCTAAATCCAATCCATTTATAAGAAATTGACAACTTTACCTTTCCCACTTTTCTTTCCCTTTTCTAAACATTAAGGGCAAAACTTGTCCATTTCACATAAAAGGGGTAGGTATAGCCAAATGAGGAGTGGGTTTAGCAACGACCATTGAGTAATTATGATGATTTGTCGAAAATATCCTAGAGATTCGGTATGAGCGTCGTTGAAATGAATGCGTGACAAACTTATTTGAAGGACTTTTTTGACATTTTAAACTCATTTCTTATAAATGAGAAAAGTAGACAAACTAATCTGGATGAAGGGAGTAGATGCCAATGAGTGCACACAGATCATATAGTGCAACAAAGTGCATCTTCTTTGTTGAGAGAGTGAGCATGCATTTCACTATGCAAGGTTAGTGATTCCCTAACCTATGAAAAGTTACCTTAATGCACATCTAGATTATACACCGATCGTCCTAAAATATATTCATCGTAAACTTTTACTGCATGGTAACATGGTTCATTCATCCTATCTATGAGAAAACATTATTTACCGCGTTCTAGATATGTTTTCTTCAATTGCACTATTACACCAAAGGACCATTGTTGCCTAGCTATTATTTCACCAATGGATTAATTGTGGTCATGTCGCCAAACATGTGTGCCCGTTGGCGTGTGCCTCCGGTTGAAATGGCTTCATTGTATGCCTTGAAGAATGGACGGGAAAAAAGGGCATTTTATGCTGCAAAAATTGATAGTGTTTTTCTAGCGACACTTATAAACATTACTTAAAATTAGAATTGGTCAGTATTCTACATATATGTGTTGGTGTCTAATGGTGAATATTTGGAATGTGTGACTGAGAAGAATTTTGTTCGGTGGAGATTTTTCAATTATTTGCTTGTCACAATCATTATGACTTTTATGATACATAAAAATTAATATATACTTGATTCATTCAAAATTTTAATGTATCACAAAACTTCTAATGATGATCCATTTGAAAAATAATTTAGTATAACTTAAAATCCTTTGCCTTAGGATTGCAACTATGCCCATCTCCCAAAATACGATCTAAGTATTGTATACACACTTAAGTATTAACAAAAAAAATCATAGCGTGGTACCATAAAATATCTTGCATTTTTTTCTTATTTTTGTTTTCAAGTAAACTTCTCCCCACAATATTTAGAAATATTTTCATTTTTTTGGGTAGCCAATATTTAGAAATATATTCATTTATTTATTGAATTTAACTAAGAGTGGAGTTTGACGCAAAATTGAGCTTACTTCAAGAGCCAGATAAAAATTCTTACGTGGTTTTAAGGTTTATGTTCTTTTTATACTCTGTAGATTTGAATGCATTGATATTACGGAGTATAAAAGAACTTAGAATTTTACAAAAAAATCATTTGTCACATGAGAGCCTATGAAAATATCAACATTTCAAATGTGGATTTAAGGACTATAAAAGAATAACTCATTTAATCTGCCGGTGTCTCAAAGTAATACTCCGTAGGTTTCATCAATAATGTGGTAATAATTTTAAAGCATATTTTGCTTATTTTTTCATTTTAATTCTCTTTTTTTAATAAAATGTCAAATTTATATTGTACTCTTTAGTATTGTATATTTCTGTTAAAAATATTAGTACTCCTTCATCCCAGAATATTTATCCTCTTTTGATTTTTTTCGGTCAAAATTAGTAAACTTTGACCCCAAATTAAATAAAAATGATATTAGATATTGATATAAAATAATTTTATTAGATTTATTATATAAAATATTTTCAAAATATTATTTTATCTAGTTAGTATATAATTCGTAATATATATTTTATTTAACTATAATTCAAATATTAAAATGATTAACGGAAAAAAGTTAAAATTGGACAAATATTTCAGTGGTAATGTTTCATTACTAATTAACCATCTTACTTTTTTAAAATGATATTGAATCAATTATTTAAATAGATCCAATTGCATATATAAGTAGTCCCTCCCTATCTTTAAATTGAAAATAAGATTGCCCCCCAACAAATCTCCGCTGCTCGTCGATAAGCAACGCCGTGACTCCGGGGATCAATGACGAGTCCAGAGCAGGCGAGTAACTGGGGGTTAGATAACTGCGCTATGGAGTGCTCAGCTGCAGGCGGAGAAGGAGAGCATAGAAACGCAAGAACCGTGCCGGAGCAGCAGTCGCCGCCGTTGAACCGGGGCAAGAATTGAGGCAAAACGAACCCTAGAAGAAGCCACGAGGACGATGATGAAGATAAACGCAAGATTTTAGAAATGTATAGTCAGATTAACCCAGTAAGTATTAAGCACGGCCGTTCAAATGAAATTGTTTTCACAACTTGTCAAGATTCCTACCATTCTCAAAAAGCCTCTTTTACCTCTCTTCATTTCTTCATCCTCAACCCACTCCTCCGCATTACTTAACTCTAATGACCTCAGACCGCCTGAAGTCGTCAATAACAGCAGGTTTTTGACGCTTTTACAGCAATTTCCGACAAACATATTATGGGTCGCATCAATTCATGCTCAGATTGTTGTGAACTCTCTATCTGCTGATCAGGTTCTGGCCACCAAGCTTGTAAAGGCGTATGGTGATTTGGGCTCTCTTGACACTGCAAGCAACGTGTTTGATCAATTTACCAGGCCAGAAGTATTTCTCTGCAATGCTATGATGAATGAGTTTCTTAAAAGGGGACAGCACTCTAAGGTGGTCGAGCTGTTTCAGATGATGGGTGTGCTAGAATCGAGACCTGATAGTTGCACTTGCACGTTCGTGCTCAAGGCGTGCAGTGCCTCACCAGAGCATTATGATGTTGGGATGGAAGTTGTTAGAAGGGGTGTGGATTGTGGGATGCATAATGATCGATTCTTTGGGAGTTCAATGTTATGTTTCTTGGTGAAATTTGACCACATTGATGATGCCCGGGAATTATTTAATGAGATGGAGAATAAGGATATTGCATGTTGGAATTCAATCATGGGAGGCTATGTGAAAACCAACCAATTTGGCAAGGCTTTTCAACTGTTTTTTGGTATGCGTAAATGTAACATTAAACTCAGTACTGTAACTATGGTGAACTTGATTCAGGTATGCAGGGCGATGGGATGCATAAAAGTGGGACAATGCTGTCATGGACTTACAGTTCAGTTGGGAATGGGAAATGATGTCAAAGTGCTAACCTCCTTGATCAATATGTATAGTATGATGGGTGACCTCGAAACTGCTTCTCTTGTTTTTGATAGAATGCCTACTAGGACTCTGGTGTCGTGGAATGCAATAATCTCAGGATGTGTTCGGAATGACTTGGTTCCGAAATCACTTGAATATTTTCATGAATTAGTTTGCAATGGGATTGGTGTTGATTCTGTAACTCTTGTTAGCCTCCTTCAAGGTTGCTCACGAGTGGCTGATATGGCAAGTGGAAAGATACTCCATGCTTTCATCTTAAGGAGGTGCCTAGAATCAAGTAACATTCTATCTACGGCTCTTCTGGATTTATATGGCAAATGTGGAGAACTCACGAAGGCCATTTATCTGTTTTCCACAATGAAAGACAAAAATGTTATTACATGGACTGCTTTGCTCGTAGGACTAGCTCAAAATGGAAAAGCAGAGGATGCATTGAAGTTATTCCACCAAATGCAGGAAGAGAATGTTGCTGCCAATTCCGTGACTCTGGTTGGTCTAGTCTATTGTTGTGCTCATTTGGGGTCCATGAAGAAAGGGAAAAGTGTTCATGCTAATCTAGTTCGTTTAGGATATGCTCTTGACATTGTTAACATGACAGCTTTAATTGATATGTATGCCAAGTGCGGCAAAATAAGCTTATCTGAGAGGGTTTTCGATATTGTTTCCGATTCTGGAGATGTTGTTTTGTTCAATGCTATGATAACAAGCTATGGCATTCACGGGTTTGGGCTCCAAGCTATAAACATATATGACCGAATGGTGTATCAGAGGGTCTCTCCAAATCAAACCACATTTGTTGCTCTTCTAGCAGCGTGCAGTCACTCTGGGCTTGTGGAAGAGGGTATCTATTTGTTTGAGAATATGAAAACAGAACATAAAATGAAGCCATCTGAGAAGCACTATGCTTGTTTTGTTGATCTACTTAGTAGGGCAGGGCGTCTTGAAGATGCAGAAGAATGTATTAAAAAAATGCCATCTGAGCCGGGCACTGCTGTTCTTGAAGCCTTACTCAATGGGTGTCGTTACCATAAAAACATGGACATAGGATTGAGAACTGCTGATAAATTGCTTCACCTAGACTCCACAAATCCTGGTGTATACATTCTGCTATCAAATATATATGCCCAAGCCAAGAGATGGGATGTGGTAGATTATATTCGAAGCATCATGAGGGCTCGCAGATTAAAGAAAATTCCAGGATATAGTTCGATTGAAATACAAAACCAGGTCCATATGTTTTTTGCAGGGGATGATTCACATTTGAACTGGGAAGAAATTCATCGGTTCTTAGAAGCTTTAAGATCAGAGATAGAGGCTTCTGGGTATGTGCCTGATACTAGCAGTGTTCTGCGTGATGTTGACGAAAAGATGAAAGTGAAATTACTGTGGGGTCATAGTGAGAGATCAGCAATTGCATTTGGGCTCTTGAGCACCGCGCCCGGAAGTGTGATTCGCATAACCAAAAATCTCCGGGTCTGTAATGACTGCCATATGGTAACAAAACTCATATCACAGATAGTACAAAGAGAGATTATTGTGAGAGATGCCAATCGATTTCACCACTTCAGGAATGGGGAATGCTCTTGTTGTGATTACTGGTGAATAGGGCTGCTACAAAATCAAGCTTTTGCTGTCATAATAAAGTATGGCAAAGTAAGAGTTTTGTGACTTGGATTTGACTCAAGCAAGTCGAGTACTATATCGAGTTTGACTCAATTGCTATCCTAAACAATCCAAGCGCGAGCTAGCCTTAACCAAGAGCCTAGCTTGTTTCGTATAACAATACTAAGAACTATTATTGATGTGTGCATCAATTGTCCCGTGGCGTGGCTAAGTCACACTCCAATGTCGTAGGCGCTTGTGTGTGTTGAATGCACAATAAGACTAGGGTATGCGCCTTTTCTAACACCAATTGATTTTAGAAGAATTGGTATCGCCTGAGATTTCACAAGAACAAGCACTAGTTCAACAACAAAAAAAACCACTAAGATCCCACAAAAAGTAGGGTCTTGGGGACGGCAAACATGACACATAATCAGAAGTAGAGAGGCTGTTTTCAAGAGACCACTGCTTCTAAAGCGAAAGCACATAAAATGTAGTACACACAGGTTATATACCGGAGTACATTTGTTCTTTCTTTTGTGGATAAATAAGTGATTACTTTAAGTAAAAGTGAAAATGTGTAGTGTTTGTATTTTGAGTATAATTTATTTGCTTAAATGCTCTTGAGTGTTTGCAAACTGAAACTGCTTAAATGCTTATTTAAAAGCGAAAGGTATAGTTATCCTCAAATAGTATGGAATAAAAGATAAAAATGTTGATTGAGAGTAGAGAGTGGTAAATAGAATAATAAAAAATTATTTTGGCAAATGAAAAGTGATTACTTTGTATTTAAATATGTTTGAACTGTCATGACTCAAGACCTTGTGGCATAGTCGAATGACATAACTGCATAACTTTGATTCTCTCTAATGAGAGAGCACATGTTCCAAGCCCAGTATAGACATTAACTCTTTGTTTTATAGGAACAAATCCTATATTATAATAAAATTAGTAGAACTAAAGTTGATTTCCACCTCTTAATTGATTTTTTAAACCTCTAAATTATTTTGAGGTTAAAATCTAAATCAAAATGTCAACCAAATGGGGGGGGGGGTCAAATTGTTGTCTAGTTTTTTGAAAAACAAAACCTCTTATATAGGGTCTGAGGTGAAAATCTTAGATTACAAATTTTCTTTATGCTTATAATATAAGAACATTCTACCAGTAGATGTTATAATATCTTCTGAGTCATCTGTTTTTGAATGTGCAAAAATTTCAAACTGTACAACTAACTCTAGATCAAAGCACAACTCTAACACGATCAAGATATTTCAGCTGAGAGCCAAATTAGAGACAGATAATAATGTCGATGTCTTATATTGAAAACTAATGTCAACCGAAATGGGACAATGGCGTCCAATTAATTATCCCACCTTATAAAGAACATTCAAAGACCATTTTCAACTATTTATGTTAAGGTAGTGTTTGGGAACTAGTATTTCATTTTAATTCATGCATTTCAATACTAAGACTTGAAATCTTGAATTTCAAATGACACGAGGAGGTGTACGGATTTCAAATTAAACTTTGTTATGAATGAGCAGAATTTGATTCAAATTCAAAATTTTTAAGTTTGCCAAACATGATATTTGAGCCAAATTCTGATTTGAAATCCAAGTCCATGTTCCCAAATATACCATAAACTTATTTAAAAAATAGGTAAGGTTCCGTTGACACTAACATTCTGTGCCAATGGATGGCGTCACTAATTTGGAGCTCCTCCGATGTTCAGTTTGTAAAATTGATGGTTTCTTCCCTCCTAACTCTCTTCCTAAATCCTCACGGTACCCTGCCTCAGCCTGACTCCTGCACCCCCACCCTAGACCTCCTTCTTACCTATTTCAAATGTGTGGCGATTATGCATTTGGAGGGGGAGGGTTTAATATGGGGCGCAGGGGTCAGGCTGGGGCGGGGTGCGGTAGGGGTTTAGGAAAGGCGTCAAGGAATGTGAACCATCAATTCCTTATTTGGAACATCGGAGTAGCTCAAAATGAATGTGCCTCATCTAATATTAGATGGTAGTGTTAAGAGAATTTGCCGTTATAAAATATAGTACTAAATAAAATGAGTAATAAATTACTCCCTCCGTCCGAAAATGTTTTTCCCATTTGACTTTTCACGTTTTCCAATATTGCGTTTTGACCATTAATATCTATATTTATACATAGATAAATTTTATAAAAATTTGATATTTGAAAACTACGTTTCATTATGAATATATTGATATTAAATTTACATTATAATACAATGTATTTTCTTCACAAATCGCAGTCAAAGTTTACAAACTTTGACCAAGAAAAGTCAAATGTGAAAGAACATTTCCGGACGGAGGGAGTAATAATCTTCAACAATTTATACCAAATCAAACTCAAAAAAATATCCTTTAAAAAAACTCAAAAAAAATATTTTCACACTTTTACGGCAGTACTCTTTCTACTCTGGAAAAAAGGGGTTCAGCTCTTCCCGGGTCAAAACTTCTGCATTCCGGATTGATTTGTTCGGAGCCCTAATTTTCCCTCTGAAAAATTGGAACGTCGATTTGAGAGAATCAGTATCGGTGGTGATTCTTTGAGATTGTTACGACGATGACCACTTCCAAGCGAAACCACAAGGAGAAGACAGTTCGTCGTAACAAGTACGTTTCCAGCATCTTGTTGATTTATGTTCTCTCGCTCTTGTTTAGGTTTAGGCTGTCTGATTGAAGATTTTGGGATGATTTTTTGTTGCTATGTGGAAGCTTAAGTATTGTAACGATTAGGGATTTATGGTAACAAGTTGTCTGTCTTTAATGACTGAATCAATTGTTCAGAGAGGAGAAAGCTGAAGAACCAGAACTACCCAAGTACAGAGACAGAGCTAAAGAGAGGAGAGAGGACCAAAATCCAGATTACGAGCTCAATGAGCTGGGTGCGTTTCATGCCGTTGCTCCCCCCGGCAATGTGGATATGGGGTGAGACTCCCACCATGAGAAATTATACTTCCAGTTCATTGATAAATCTCCATTTTCACTTTTATATCCTTCTATATACTTGAACATTGGTGTAATATCATATTCAATATGATGTTTGATGATGAGCTTTGATTTTACCGTGTATGCAGTTCTGCTGATGCTCACAAGTTATCTATTGAGAAGAGCAAGTATCTCGGAGGTATAGCTAATGCTACATTTTCAACTTGATTCTCTTAATCAATTGGGATGAATGCTACTGTGATATTACACTGGCTACATGGCCACACTGTAGAAGTGTATGATTCTCCTACAGAAATAATAGAAGCAATATGATTAACATAAAGAAGAAAAACAGAAGTAATATGGGAAATAGCGATCTATCAATGCTAATGTAAACATTTAAATAGTTTCTTATCATCTTATGTGTTTATGATGGCACAAAGAAATGGATCACAACTGCATAAATTGACCTTTCTTTTTATGGATTATACAATCAGGTGATGTGGAGCACACACATTTGGTTAAAGGATTGGATTATGCTCTGCTTCATAAAGTTAGAAGTGAGATAGATAAGAAGCCAGAGGCTGGAGATGATCCTGATGGAAAAGCTAGGTGATGGCTTGGTTTGTTGTTTCGAGTGTGGAAATTTGTTACTCTGTTCAGTTTCATTTCTTTTTTTATTGTTTATGCTCATTCTATCAAATTGTTTTATAAAGTATATAAGGGTGATTAAATGTCAAACTACTCTAACATATAGATTATGAGTGTTGTGCCCTTTTCCTTTTTTCTTTTTTAACAGAGCATCTAAGGAAGATCAAACAATGTCTTTCCGCACTACAACTGCAAAGGTTCAGTAGTTAGTTTACTATTTGAAGTCTTAAGTATCCTTTTGTGATTATATTACATGTTCTCTCAATTCAGTGATCTCTATCTGGCCTTGGTTTGCAGTCAATCTACAAGTGCATAGTCAAACCCCAGACTTCTGTAAAGACCAATGAAATGTTCCTTCCTGGGAGGATGGCTTTCATTTTTAACATGGTAAATGATCTTAACTTCACTGCTATATAACTTTTTTCTTCATGCATGCATCAGCTCTTCATGTACATTGTGCGTTCCAGGAAAGTGGGTTTTCCAATGACATTCCAACCACTCTCCACAGAAGTAAAGCTGACTGTCCTGTTCCTGAGGTGTTTCTTCCTTCCTGTAGTATTGTCCTTTTCACCATCCAAATAAATGACATTCTATCATCTTATTTGCTCTTTTTACTTGTCTTCAGGAAATGGTTACTGTCAGCGTTGATGGGTCCGTGTTGGATAGGATTGCTAAAATTATGACATATCTCCGCCTCGGATCATCTGGGAAAGTTCTTAAGAAGAAGAAAAAGGAAAAAGATGGAAAAGGTTATTATGTCACAGTTCACTCATTTTTCTGTTTTTTTTTTGTCTTGATATAAAACATCATGGATGCATGATTCTTTATTGAGTTTCTTTCACATCATTTTGTATGTTCTTACACTAATGGATCTAAGGGGTCCTAGCGTGGAGATGGCTTAAGGCTAGAATAGTTGAAATACATTAATATAAGTAATTTGTAGGACCCAAGATTCATAGCTACACCTGATTTGAGATTGTGAGATCAGAACTAATTCCTCGTTGTTGTCATTATTTTCTGGTTTCCTGAATATAAACTTTGTGAAACCCAAACTGGAATTTCAACTTGACCAGCAGTGAAATTCCATTAGTTCTGGTTTTGCTCACAAAACATGTTCTTCCTTTCAGGGAAGGTTTCTGGTTTCCCCAATGGTCATGAAGAGCACATATCAAAATCAGACGCAATGAAGAACTATATTGACAGCACAAGTGTACCTCCTGCTCCTGAATCTTCTAAGAATAGTCATTTTAGTGAATTGAGGGAGAAACATGGCCCTACTGTTGATAGAGTCGAAGAAGAAGATATATTTGTTGGGGAAGGAGTTGATTATTCTATCCCTGCTGTAGATTCAAACAGAAGCCCTGTATCGGAAGATATGGAAGAATCTCCTCGTAATAGAGAGAGAACCTCATATTTCAGTGAACCTGCTGCATATGCCTCAATTCCATCATCACAGCCACCTCATGGCTGGCAACAAGCGGTGAGCTTGATCCTGTCACAACTCCCTTGTGCTGTAATTTATGCTTGGAAATCAACTCTTCTCACTGTTGTTAAGTAAAGGCCATGCCAGAATGGCATGTCATATTTGTTTCAATCTGCCACCAATTACACTGAGACCATGTTTGGTGGAATTGTGTCCCGAATCACTAAAATGACCAAACTATCCAAAATATTTGTTTTTAATAAATTGAAAGAAATACTATATAAAAATGAAGTCTGAAGTGTCATTTTCATTATTTTCATCCATTTCATCCCAAAAAGCACAACTTCTTACTTTATTATAAGTCAATTCAGCCAAGCAATGGCATGTTTGGTGATTAACATAACAGATAAGGTTGACGATTACCAATCCCTGGTTCTAGTGGTACTGTTCTTTTTTCATATTTATATTACCATTAATGCTGTATCTATCCATATTGTTCAGAATGGGTATGATGCTGTTCAAGCACAGGCCTTTGGTGGTGTATATCCATCAGAATGGCTGGATTACCAATATGCCGAGCAAGTGGGTTATCCTGACGATCAATACCTCCAGCAAAACATACAGGCCTATGACCCACAAACTGGTTCAGTCATTCATGAAGATCAGCGTTTCATAACCCAAGAAGAAAAGGATAGAGGTTTAGGATCAGTTTTTAAGCGCGATGATCAGAGACTTCAACAGCTGAGAGAGAGAGATGCCCGGGAGAAGGATCCCAATTTTGTTTCTGAGAGCTATTCCGAGTGTTATCCTGGCTACCAAGAGTACAACCGTGAGGTTGTTGACAGTGATGATGAAGCTGATTTGACAAAGATGGATATGGGAGGACGTGTAAGTGTTTTCTTTATGCATTTGATTTGCTAAGAGCTAAATAGCTAATAATCCATTTAGTTGTAAGATACGGCACACTCTATCTGACAAAGATGGATATGAAAGACTAGTGGTTTTAAAGAAATGCTGTTAAAAAAATTGCTATATATTTCTTGTGCAGGCAAAAGGACGACTTCATAGGTGGGACTTTGAGACGGACGAGGAGTGGGCAGCATACAATGAACAGAAGGAAGCAATGCCAAAAGCTGCATTCCAGTTTGGGGTGAAGATGCAAGACGGGAGGAAGACGAGGAAGCAAAACAAAGACCACAAGTTGAATAACGAGCTCCATAAGATCAACAAAATTCTGTCCCGAAAGAAGATGGAGGAGAAAGGAGGTGATGACAACGACGACGATTCCTCACATCCGGGAAAGAAACTTCGGGTTTGATCCTCCAAATGTTTTCGAGGACCTATTTGAAACACCATGGTGCTAGCGTGCGTCATGGTCCTACGTGGCATCAATTTTGTAAAATAAATTGATGACAACATGACATATGTAGATGCTTTCACCCCAATGTGTTCCGAATAGTTTACCGTGTCCATTGCCAATAGAGCTAAAAGAGTGACTATTGAAATTGTTTTAGATTGGGGCCACATTATGAGTGAAATCAAAATGTGCATCTTGACCTCCATACCCCAATGGAGTTGAAATTATACTGGGTTGTTATTATTGGTGTTGTGGTTGTTTATCTTGTGCCTATGATTTTGTCCAATGTGATCAAAACATGAAATTTCATCTTGTGGTTATTTGGGCAAATGCTCTCCTTTGCTTTGTGAACCACAAAAATATACAGTACTATATAATACTCTGTCTTAATATTCATACCCCATGTATATACTCAGGGACTTAGGGTATGCTATATACGACTCTATATTTTGAGTAAATTAGCAAAATGATTCTTTCTAATAAGGTTTTTTCCAAAAATTACTAATGTGGTTTTTTATAATTGAGATGTGTTTCGTAAATAGTCCTTTATAAAAAATGTTTATTAAATGACAGTTAAATAGAGTATATTTTGATACCCTTTATTATCTAAACTATGAATAAGTTCTTAAAATGATTTTTTTTTAAAATTAAGTGGGAAACACATCTCAATTATTAAAAGTATTTAGGAAACTCATCTCAATCTCAATTATAAAGGAGTATTTAGGAAACATATCTCAATTATAAAGTATCACGATAGTAATTTTCGCCTATTGAAGATTACTTTGGAAAGAACTTTATTACAAAGGATCATTTTGAAAATTTACTCAAAATATTTTGTCATATTTGGTGAGAAAGATTATTTGTAGAATAGTTTTAAAAAATTAATACGGAGTAACTGTTTATGGAATATTTTATAATTGAAGACTAAATATGAAAAAATTGTATATAATTGGGGGTCATTTACAGAATTTGCTCTTGAAATTAATTTGAAATATAGAGTAATTTTGGATTATTCGGAGAATTTTTTTTAAAAAGAAAAATGAAGAAGAATTATCTTTAAAAAGAAAAAATCAAATTGAAAACAAAAGCGGCTACCGAGGTCCCCACCAAGATCGTAGCGTGGAGCCTTCCCTCGATCGTCTCTATCCTGAAGAAGCCTGGAAAAGCCCATCAACTCTGCAACTAGGCGCCACAACAACCCGCCCCGGTTCATATCTGCCGACTTCAGACTGCTTCTCCGCCGTGCCGGACGCCTTTGATCTCCTATCCACCACCGCGTTGACTTTCCGTGGCCGACACGCGACTCCTCCCCAGGTTTGACATGTTCTCCTCCCTGCTTCATAGATGTTGGTCGTAAATTTCTATCATTATTCCTAATTTCCTAGACCGCCGATCTGAACTCAACTTGCTGTATTATTTTTAGCCTGAAAGATGTCTTTTTTACTGTATTTTTAGGGTTTGTTTGATTGGGGATTTCCGGTGGGAAGTGGATTGTCGTCATTGGTTTTACTGATTTCTTTCCAGTTTATAGATGACGAACCAAAAATCGACAAATCCTAGAAGTTAATGCTGTTGCTATTAAGCGCATGGGTTCTTTGCAAAAGTTAGGCAAAGTATATACTCTGTAATCTCTCTTTGTTTTTTCATCACAGTTTATACATTTGGTGGTTTGGATTTTAGCTGCGTGCAATGGATGAGGTTTCTCCAGAAAGTAGAGTTTCATATTCTTCTATGGCTAATCTACAAAAGCAGAATGAAAAATTTTATGCCGTCGAAGACTACGATGGTCCTTCTGCATGGGCATTAACAGATCACCCCAACCCAGACAAAAATGATCGCCATTATCCATACCCGTCACTGGATTCCGATGATTTAAATGAAGGAGGCTATGATTCCAGTGATGATCAGTATGGTTATGTGCATCACAGTGGTCCTCCTGAAGTTAACCTGAGAAATGTGTTGAGTGGGATTTTTGCCATAGTTACAGGACGCAATAAAGGTGCAATTTCTAATATAGCTTCTCAAACGCCCACTTCAAATGTATCATTTCTTGGATCTGGAAAGAATGGAGAGGCATTCTTGCATTCTTCGGTATACACACCCAGTGCACCACCACTCAATGAGCTTAATGCGTGTGATTATAATGCTTATAGGGAGGTTTTAGAATCTGAACCTCCAGAGTGGCTTAACGACAGTTCAACTAATGTATGCATGCAGTGTACATCCCCCTTCACTGCCATAACGCGTGGAAGGCATCATTGCCGGTTTTGTGGAGGAATATTTTGTAGGGCGTGTTCAAAAGGGAGATGCTTATTGCCTGTAAAGTTTAGAGAGAGAAACCCACAGCGTGTTTGTGACACCTGTTATGAGAGGCTTGATCCGTTGCAGGGTATACTGATCCATGGGATTAGCAATGCTATGCAGGCCGCAAAGCACGATGTCATGGACTGGACTTGCTCCAGAGCCTGGTTGAATCTTCCTGTTGGTTTCTCAATGGAGTATGAGATATACAAGTCAACTAATTCTTTGAGGAGTTATACCCAGGTCGTGATTCCTAACTAGGTCTTTTTTATGTGTGGATATGTACAGTATACATTAAAAAAGCTCCTCATTAATCATCTCTCTCAGGTGAAATGAAGTGTACTCTCTCCATCCCAAAAAAACAAGTCTTGTTGATATCATTTTGTTCCCCAAAAAAGTCCAGTTTGATCAACAGTTTTAATTTTTCATGTACTTTGCCAAAAAAGAGTCGCATACAAGCAAATAACATATGATAAATATAGTTTATTCAACAAATAAACTTAAACGTACAAGTATGGTTCATTATTTATGATGGTTGTACACTTGTACTTTACAAAAATAATAAAGTTGTGCATTTGTTGCACTATGGTTATTTTGACACTGGTGGCTCAATATGACACTGGCCAATTTCAGCACCTTACAGTGCTCCGTTCCAACCCGAAGTGGTTCTTACCCCCCTTCCCCCCCCCCCCTTTTAAACACCCCCCCTNCCAAATTGGCTGGCATTCAGGTCAACATTTTGACCAGAACGGGGAGACCACAGGGTGCTCAAATTGACAAGTGTCATGAAATTGGCCTATTATGACACTGGCCACCCGTGTCATAAGAACCTCGCCGTGTTTGTTGAACTTGATTTTCTCGGACAGAGTAGAATTATAGATTGGGGATTTATTTGGTGGTTAAATATATACTCTGTAGCAGGCAATTCCCAATAATCATGCATAGAGTACTAAATGAGTAATTAGCATGATACTCCATCCATCCCAAAAAAAGGTTTATATTTGACTTTTCACGGTCTCCAATGTGATACTTTGACCATTAATATCTATATTTATACATTTATAAATTTTTATAAAAAAAATATGATACTCCTATTTCAAAACTACATTTAGAGACAAATTAGATGGTATTAAATTTATATTATTATTCAACATATTCTTTTCAAATTTCATGGTCAAAGTTTCCTTAATTTTGGCCCAAAGTCAAATAGGAACCTTTTTTGGGATGGAAGGAGTAATAATAATCTAAATTATTCTTGAAAGGAACAGGTTGCTCGGTTGAATCCCGAGCGGTCTATACCTGCAGCTGTGCTGAAAGGAGCCAGAGGTCTTGCAATATTGACTGTCGCCAAAGCGGGTGCTCTTGTTACGTACAAACTGGGGACTGGTCTGGTAGTCGTTCGAAGAACAGATGGGTCATGGTCTGCACCATCAGCAATAGTTTCAATGGGTTTGGGATGGGGTCCCCAGGTATATAATATATGTTCCAAGTTTCAACATTGAGAGTACTTGAATAACTGCTGCTGCTATACATCAGATTAAGAGCTGTTTGATTTGCCAGTTTTGCTTAATGATGGAAAATTGATGAATTGGATACATCTACTTTGGACTATGATGGATGGATTGAAAACAGTCAATTAATGCAGTTATTATCCATTATAATTTTATTAAAAAATTCAATTGGTCCACAATCCATTTAATAAAGTTCATCCTATCATCCATTAACATTTTTTCACTAACGGGTATCCAATCTATCCTTTTTCTCATTACTTTTGTGTCTAGTGACGATTGAGCAATGTGTGTTATGATACTTCAGCACATCTGTAGGAATCAAATGTGAAAAAAATCATTTCATGCTGGATTTGTAATATTTTGAAAATGTAATACAATGGGTTAAAAAAATAGTGGATGAATCACTAACCTTCCATATAATACCAAAAAATCATTAATATATGTGAAAAGTTGAAGTGTTATGCTGTATTTATAATATTTTGAAAATGTAATCCAATGGGTTAAAAAATAGTGGATTAGTGGATGAATTACTAACCTTCCATATAATACAAAATGTATGGAATCGATCCAACCTATTATTATACTCCATCAGTCCAAAAAGAGGAAGTTCCATTTAATGGTTTTACCAAGGTATAACCTTTTAATATTAGTAAAGTTTAATTTTTGAAATTTGATGGTCCTACCTTTTATTTTTAAATTTATTTCTTTTGTGATCAGATCTAAGATTCTTAACTTGTTTCGAATACTTCTTATAGAAACATTGAATTAAGTTCAATGAAAATTAGTTTTTTTTACTGAAATGTGACTCATTTTTTATCCCCAAAAGAAACAAATTATGAAATGTGACCTCTTGGGACCAAGGACTAACTGCTTAATGGTTCTTTTGCTGCCACTAGTAGTGTTGATCCTTGTTTTTAATGCTCATCTTTATAGGTTGGAGGGGAGCTCATGGACTTCATAATTGTGCTACATGACTCTAAAGCCGTAAAAACATTTTGTAGCCGCATGCACTTTTCTCTTGGAGCTGGATGCAGTGTTGCGGCTGGTCCAGTTGGAAGGGTTTTGGAGGCAGATGTTCGTGCTGGAGACAGAGGTTCTGGGATGTGCTATACTTACAGTTGTAGTAAAGGTAATCAATTGCACGCTCATTATCCTATCTGTGAGTTTTGTTACACACTAGAATTTGAATTCGGTTTATTTTACCCTCGTTAAAAGATTTAGTTGAACTTGCCAATTCCTCCCCCTCTTAAGACAACCAATGAAGTCTCTCATATTACTTTTAGACACTTCCTCCATATTCAAACAGTTATGGTGATGGGTGATGCTAAGGCGGAGCCTTTCTAGATGTTGATCAGTTCAATCTTGTTTACTACAATATATGTCCCGATTCCCGAA